GAATCATTACCTGTAAAACCATGGCCAAGCATGGAACATTAAAAATAGGTTTATTGTGACTGGCCGCTGAAAACCATTAGCCGAGAAGTGTATCTAACGGTGATGAATATGGACAGCACGCTTCCTAGGTAAGGAGAAACACGGCATTTCATTGGGAAAACAAGTCTGTTGTGATAGGGCAAATGAAGGTCAGTACCTATTACCTGCCCACAATATGATCTTCAGCCTATGAGAGTGAGGCACTGAAGTCCCACTTGACATTCAAAGGAATCTGGGCACTTTGTTCCCTGGGGTTCCTTTGAGAGAGCCATCCTTATGGTGGACCTGATCTCTCCAGAGACCTCCTCCTCCAGGGGGGTTTTGGGTTAAACTTGGAGATTGTCCCTGTTACTCTCAAGCAGAATTAAAGATGGGTCTCTCTGAACTCAGGATTGAAGTGCACTTCCTTCAGCTGTGTGGGCCTCCATGCTCTTTCCATTTCAGTCTGCCCACCCCCCTTGCTTGTCTAAGCATGCCCATCAGTTTGGGGTCAGGCTTCCAACTAAACCTAGGGAGAAGTAAATGTTAAGTGTCTGGGGGAAGCCAGGCCTCTTGCAGTTTTTCCTGCTGTTGGTTTAAGTTTTCCACTGCCTTGCAGTCTGGAAAACATGCCAGGATCCTGCCCCTGCAGCCAGGCACCCCTTCTTTGGGGAATGACGGAAAGCTTTGGTAGCCTCGGTCCACTGATCCAGAGCCAGAGGTTTGTGCCCGCCCCCTTGTTACAGACGGGTTGCTGCAGCCAATCCGACTGCAGGACTGTTTGAATCACTGCATAGTGTCTCCCTCAGCTGTGTAATTTCCCTAGTGGATGACTCCCAAAGCCAAGCAGACCAGCAGGTAAACAGGGCAACAAGGTAACGGTAACAGAGGGAGTATCCAGTATCCAGCAGCCGGCTGAGGCGAGCATGTAACTGGAGCCCCTTAGAAAACACCTGGCTGGAAAGATGTGTGCGAAGGGTTTAGAGGGCAGCATCCAGGACTAGTGGCGCTGAGGTGCAGGTAGTGCAAGCTGCAGGTAAGAAACCACTCAGTCCTGTTTGGGAGCTGGTCAAAAGATGCTCAAGGCCAGCAGGGAGACAGGCAGGAATTGCAAGGGCCAGACACAAGCTAGGAGCTTTAGGAAATCCAGGCAGCTACAGAGCCCTGTGTATTCTGTCTGCAATGGGGGAGGGAAGGATTCAAATGCCCATTAATATATATATTTAAAAATGTTCCCACTGCTGCCTGCAGTGTGTTATTGGGAGCTTCTGGTTGTCCAAAGGGGGATGGGAGCCAGGAATTCCTGGGTCCTGTTCCTGGATCTGCCAGTGATCAGCTGAGTGACTCTGGGCAAGTCCTTTCCTTCTCCTGCCCCCCAGTTTTCCAACTTTTACAATGGACATCCTGTTGAGCTGCTTTTTATCCAGGATGTTGGCAAGCCTTAAAGTTAACAAGCTTGTGCAGCCCGTGAATGGCCTGGCATCCTTCAGTGTGCCATGTAAATATGTTAATTTGTAAGGTGCCATCCAAATGCTAAACTGATGTTTTCCTGTCTCTCCTCTGACTTACAAGCATCAGCTATATGTAGGTCTAGTGCCACCCCCAGCATGTCAAGACAGACACCGTTCTTTATCCATAGGAGGATAATTCAGGCCCACCTTGAAAAATGGCCTCTGTGAGGTGCTGAGGACTTACAGTTCCTCTTGGCTTCATGTGGAGTGACCAGGTCCTGCTCCAATGTGCCTGATCCCCAGATCAGGGGTTGCTTTCTGAAAAAACTGTCCGTCTAAGATGTGAAGATGATTATCCAGTGATCTCTTGCCATGGGGCTGATTTATAGCCCAGAACTTGCAAACTGACTTGATTCACATGTGGGACTCCACTTCAGCCAGTAGCATGGGATTTAAGTGTTTTTCAGACCTGGATTTAGGCATAGCCAGTTGACCTTGTTTTTCATACTAATAGATCTCTGTGATTTCCATCACTAGCATTCAAGTGCTTCCCAGTCTCTACTGTGTTTCTGCTTACTGTGCCCCTTTGGGTAGAAAAGTGCCATTTGCCATCTGACTTGTGGTGAAGCACTGATATTTAAGGTTTAACTTTGAGTTTTGTCCTAAACCAGCTTGAGCTGCAGGAGCTGCTCTTTTCACCTAAGCCATCTACACTAGATTCTTATTTTTCAAATATGGCAGTAAGGTCTCTCTTTGCAAGCAGTTGAAAGAGAAAGAGGGTGCCAGGAACAGAGAATTGTGGGTTTGCTGCTGGCAGGTTCCCTTTGCTTGAGGCTTCCAAACTTGGGATAAGAGGTGGGCAAGTGGCAGCAAGGTTGGATTTATATACCTAAATGTTCAGCATATTTTCTTGGATTGGCTAGACTCTGCTAGGCATCAAACACAGGAGTTTACAATGTAAGTTGTTGGCAGGTATAGGCTTTAGGATGACCTCAAGGTTGACCATAATGAGTAGCATAGATATAGCTACAGAGACTAAGGGCCAGATTTATAAATGTATTCAGGCATCTAAAGATGCTGATAGCTGCCTCATGGGATTTTCACAGGAATTAGGCACTTGGTTCTTTTGAAATTCCACTGGGTGCATAGTTACCTTTTAAAAATCCAGCCCTATATGACTTTTCCGAGGCGGAGGGTGGGGAGGTGGGAATTGAACCCACATTTTTGAGTCCCAGGTTACCACTGAACCCATTTGTATAGTCAACTCCCTCTCGTATTATACTTCCCAGGAGACTGTGCTTTTGTGCATGGTGAATGAACAGTGAGATGCACTGAATTCATACCAGTAACCTAAGGTGCAGCAATCCTTACAGAATAACTTGATTTCAAATTTCTGTTTTTGCACAATTGGCTGCAGCCTACAAAGGATGTCTTTTTATAACACAAGGAGAACAGCCGCAAAATCAAAACACTTGATCCAATAACAAAGTCTAATTTCTGTACAAAGAAATGAATTGATACATTTTACTCGGAAGAATAATGAAAAACACTAATTAATCAAACAGGAACTGCCACCTTGCCATTCTGCAGAGATAGTTTAGGACGCGGGAAATTGAGATCAGCATTTGAATGCATGGAAGACTCAGGAGATTTTCACAACTCTTGTGAGGTAAGCGCAGTTGTATTCTTTTTCTTAGAATTACTTATTTTGTTGAAATAGAACTGTGTTTAATCATGTTAATAATCCTTTATAGATCTTGACTTTATGAAGTGGCTAGTGGTGCTGGGTATCTGCTTTTGGTTACTGACTTGAGAAATCTTAGCGATTAGTCACATTTGGAAATCTTGGCCTTTCTCAGCTGAAGACAAATTTGTCAGGAAAGGTGAAATGGGGCATCTGTTTCCTCCAGTTCCGTGTTTTTAGAGGTGGTACCAGGTTTTAATAGCTTTGAAAAATCTGACTTTTCTCCAGTCTACACCCTGTGCCAGAGTTACAGTATCACTAAGATTGGGGTCCCACAGGGTTGTCTGCCATTCCCTACCACATCGATTTCATTCTCACTACTCTGGCCTGGTATACGTTACCAATACACTGCCCATTCTAACTAAGAGTATGTCTACACTGATATTTAGGGTTGACCTAAAGGTTGCTCTTCACCAGCTTGATCCACCCACGCCATCCCTCCCCATCTGTCTTGCCTTGCAGTCCACACCAAATTGCTCTCCACTTGTTGAGTGGACTCTTTCTAGGAATCAGTCTGAAGTCTCCTTATCCTTCTTTCTGTGGTTCCCCCCCCGCCCTCGTTCTGGGCAGGAGAGGGCGGGGGTATGTGCAGAAGGGCCAGAAGTAAGAAACAGGAAATTGTGGGATTGCTGCAGGAAGACTTCTTTGCTTAAAGCCCATACAGCTGTACTGCTGAGAGGCAAGTAGGAGCAAGGTTGTGCTGTTGGAAGTTCATCAGAATTTCTGAGGCCGACCTGGATAACCACCAAGAGCCCTGCAGTAGTTTACAGTGTAGGTCAGCATGGGCTTGGGACCGGCCTTAAAGTTGACCTTAACTAGTATGTAGACCTACCATGAATGTCTGAAACAGTGAGGTAAGATGATATGAGTTTACAGCCCACTAGATCTCATGCTGAAGAAGTTTTCATGATAGTTCAGTCTGTTTTTTTCTTGTTTTCGATAACTCTTTGATTTTATTACCTGACAGCCCTGTGGGCATCAGGCTGGCCGTTGTACTGAAGGCAGCAGTAAAAGGCAGTTTTCTCTGACGGACCATTCACCGAGCATACATTTAGGAGGTAATTCCTGTGAAAGCTTCAGAGTTCATTCCTAACCTAGACCGTGTGGTCAGACCTGCTGGGCTGTGCTGATGGCGAGACCCCTGCAGGGTGTCCAGGGAGTCTGACAAGTAATGACAGCGGTTGGCACTTAATTAGTAGGGACCTACTGAATTTGTGATTTCACGGAAACCACAAAATCTGCAATTGTCCATGAAATCAATGTAAAAAAACAACTTTATAAAAATAAAATGCTGGATCCCTAGTGGAAGCCAGTGGCCCTTGCTGCTTGCAGCCTGCCTGGGAGGGGAAGGCACCAGGTGGCAGGGCAGCACAAAGGGCAGCCAGTAGCCAAGATAGTGGCTACCCCCTCCAGGCCTCTCTACCAATCAGCGGTGAGCAGGGCCAGATTAATACACAGGCAAACCAGGCATGTGCCTGGGGCCCTGTGCTGCTGCAAGGGGGAGTCCTCCTCTCTGCACCATCCATACTGCAAATGGTCCCATCCACTTCCCTTCCCCTCCCTCGGATGCCTGGAAGAGGGTGCCACTACGTAAATACAGTCATGCTTCAATATTGACCCTGTTCTCACTGACTCACTGGTCAGCCATGATGCACAATACAAAGCAAACAAGAAGGCTTATTTGCATAACCATTTTGCATTTAGTAGGACTATACGAGTAAAGCAAACAAATGAATCAGCCCTTCGCTTACTCCACATTTGTCACCGTAACTCGACAATGAGAGAATGAGAACCAGGTCTCACAGCTCTGCAATAGGAGCACTAGAAGAACATGATGAACTTTAGCAAGGCTTTTGATAGTCTCCCACAGCTTTCTTTCAAGCAAGCTGAGGAGGTGGAAGAATGAACTGTAAGGTGGTTAGAAAGCTGGCTGGATCATCAAACTCAATGGGTAGTAATCAATGGCTTGAGGTCTAGCTGGCAGCTGGCATCAAGATGAGTGCCCCAGGGGTCAGTTCTGGGTCCAGTTTTGTTCAATATCTTCATTAACGATCTGGAAGATGGGATGGATTGCACCCTCAGTAGGTTCACAGATGGCACCAAGCTTGGGGGGGGTGTAGTAGATATGCTGGTGGGTAGGGCTAGGCTTCAGAGTGACCTAGACAGATTGGTGGATTGAGCCAAAAGAAGTGTTGTGAGGTTCAATAAGGACAAGTGCAAAATCCTGTGCTTAGGATGGAAGAATCCTATGCACCGCTACAGGCTTAGGACCAATTGGCTAAGCAGCAGCTCTGCAGAAAAGGACCTGGTGGTTACAGTGGGCAATAAGCTGAACATGAACCAACAATGTGCCCTTGTTGTGAAGAAGGCTAATGGCATACTGGGCTGCATTAGCAAAAGCGTTGCCAGCAGATCAAGGGAAGTGATTATTCTGCACTGGTGAGGCCACATCTGGAGTAGTGTGTCCAGTTTTGGGGCCCCCCACTACAGAAGGGATGTGGACAACCCCCCCCCCCCCCCCCCCCCAAAAAAAAAAAAAAAAACTACAGAAAGAATGTGGACAAGTTGGAGAGAGTCCAGTGGAAGGCAGTAAAAATGGTTCAGGGGCTGGGGGACATGACATATGAGGAGAGGCTGAGGGAACTGGGCTTATTTAGTGTGGAGAAGAGAAGACTGAGGTGGGATTTGATAGAAGCCTTTAACTCCCTGAAGTGGGGTTCAAAAGAGGATGGAGCTGGACTGCTCTCAGTGGTGGCAGATGACAGAACAAGGAGCAATGGTCTCAAGTTGCAGCAAGGGGAGTTTAGGTTGGATATTAGGAAAAACTTTCTCACTAGGAGAGTGGTGAAGCACTGGAATGGGTTACTTAGAGAGATTGTGGAATCTCCGTCCTTGGAGGTTTTTAAGGCCCAGCTCAAAGCCTTGGCTGGGATGATTTAGTTGGGGCTGGTCCTGCTTTGAGCGGAGGTTGAACTAGATGACCTCCTGAGGTCCCTTCCAACCCTAATTTTCTACGATAGTGTTGTCAACACCTTGTGATTTAATCATGACTGTAGATTTTGGGGGAAAGAGGGGCGGGGAATCTCCTCCCTTCCCCTTTCTTTTTTTTCCTCTTTATGGAAGGCAGGAAAATCTTGTACATTTTCCCTTAATCAAAATGCCTGCCGTCTCACATTATGGCTGACTGAGCTGAAGACGGCAAGATGGCCACTGCAGTCTACATCTGTAGAGATGAAGGTGCCTTTTAAAGGTAGGTGGCTGCCAGCTTCTGCTGCTTGCAATGAGCTTGAAGCTGTGACCACAGACAAAGTAACTGCCACTGTGTTTCGGGTGGCTGGATGGTACATTGCTGGGTCATAGACTGTGAGGGGCAGACCCTGCCAAATGGGCAAAGGTGGGCACCCAGGGATGAGGGTTGTGGGGAACAGGAGTAGGCCAAGCAATGGGGTGGAGGTAGAGGACACTGACTGGAGACTCTTTGACTGAAGAGTATGAACAGGCTCCACTGAGCAGCCAGAGGAAGTGCAGTAGAAAAGGAAGCAGCCGTGCTAATTGGGCCTGACCTTGTGGGGGTATGAAAGCTGCTGTGGATACTGCTACTGGTACCTCAGCATTGTCCTGCAGTCATGCCAGTCTAGCAAAACTGATGCAACATTGTTAATTTTCATAGTTCCTTTGTATCTCTACAGGAACAGGTAACAGTTATAACAGCTGTTGCTCACTGCTAAGCACTAACTCTCCTTCTCCTTTTGTAAATTAATCAGACGTGCAGGTGATTGGACTCAGTGGGCACATCTACACATGCTATTATTGTGAAGTGCGCTGGAGTTTATTGCTCATGGGTAGAGCATTTGCACATGTGCCAGGGACCAACGCATATTGAATTGGCTGGCAGGAAGCCCCGGGGGTCATCCTGCCAGCCCAGGGCTGCTCTGACCCAACTCAATGTGCTGCAGAGGGGCTGGCTGGGGCATGAGCATGCTCCAGTGCAGGTCTTGGCAGCAGGCAGCTCCTGCAGTGTAGCAGCCTCGTGCCCCAGCTAGCCCCGTCACCATCTACATGTGTGTTTTGTCCTGCGTAACTACTCTGCTGTAGGAAAGCTTTTCTGTCTGGCAGTACTATCCTACAGCACAGTTAATTAGTGCACTATAGCCTAATAATGCTGCATGTGTAAATGGTGATGCTTTACAGCAGAGCTAATTAGTTGGCTCTGCAGTAAAGTGTCTTGTGTAGACGTACCCAGTGTGATCTTTTTTCAGTGTTGCTTCCTCTTGCAAATTGCTCATGAGCAGGGATCCTGGTTTTCTCTGTTTAAAAATCCCAAATTCTCTGATTAAAATAACCCCCACAATCTGTGTTTTTTCCACAATGAAAAAGAAATGACTCTCCCTTTCTTATATGTATTAGTTAAACACGATGTTTTATTAATATATTTACAATTTTAAAGTGGGCTGGAAGCCTACCAGTGCCTCAGTCATTATAATAAAATAAATTCTAAATATCTATATATCTATATTTTGGTGTATGATTTTTGTTTTCTTATCATAGAAAGTCAGAGCTCCCTGTGCCCCCTTTGCTCACCAGGATGCAGATTCAGCTCTGGCTGTGTCCCCTCCCTCCCCTCCCCCTGCTGCTTTGTGTTGCTGAGTAGCTTTGATATGCCAGTGCCCCCGCACTCCTGACCCACAGCCCCCTAGCCCTGCTGCTGCCCCTCACTCCAGACCTGGTACTCCCTGCCCCCAGTGTAAGACTAAGTGAGTGGGTGTGGGGGGAACAGGGTGGGTGTGGGGGGAAAAGGGGTGTGGGCACAGGTGATGTGTGGGGGTGGTAGTAGGGGCACAGGTGATATGCCAGAGATATGCCAGTGCCCCCGCACTCCTGACCCACAGCCCCCTAGCCCTGCTGCTGCCCCTCACTCCAGACCT